CTAGAGGGTGGGCGGGGTCTTGAGTGTGGGTGGGGTCTTGAGGGTGGGCCGACCGTAGACCCTGGCCTCCTCACCTGTGTGGGCAGAGTCTTGAGGGTGGGCGGAGTCTAGAGGGTGGGCGGGGTCTTGAGGGTGGGCGGGGTCTTGAGGGTGGGCGGGGTCTTGAGTGTGGGTGGGGTCTTGAGGGTGGGCCGACCGTAGCCCCTGGGCTCCTCACCTGTGTGGGCGGAGTCTAGAGGGTGGGCAGGGTCTTGAGGGTGGGCCGACCGTAGCCCCTGGCCTCCTCACCTGTGTGGGCGGAGTCTAGAGGGTGGGCGGGGTCTTGAGGGTGGGCCGACCGTAGCCCCTGGGCTCCTCACCTGTGTGGGCGGAGTCTAGAGGGTGGGCAGGGTCTTGAGGGTGGGCCGACCGTAGCCCCTGGCCTCCTCACCTGTGTGGGCGGAGTCTAGAGGGTGGGCGGGGTCTTGAGGGTGGGCCGACCGTAGCCCCTGGGCTCCTCACCTGTGTGGGCGGAGTCTAGAGGGTGGGCGGGGTCTTGAGGGTTGGCCGACCGTAGCCCCTGGGCTCCTCACCTGTGTGGGCGGAGTCTAAGGACCAGCCGCCTCTGACCTGGACCCACTCGGGCGTGTGCCGTGACAGCGCCGTCTCGATGGTGTGTCACTCTGATGGAATTCCTCTGTGTTTGTTTTGACGGGAGAGTTGTGTCAAGTCCATTAGCCTTAAAGACTTCACTCTGCTTTTCCACAAGTGTCAGTCATCGTCTTCACTGCTCTGTTGAGTCACTCCGAGACCATTGGATGAAAGTGAAAACGTTTATCTCCACCAACAGCCTTGAAAAGAAGGTTTTCCTGTTTCTTAAAGGTACAGGGTGTAGTTTATACTCCCATCTAGCCTGAAGATCATATATTGTAATTTACGGTTCTACGGTGGCTTCACAGGACAATATATGATCTTTGACAGTGGTCCCCCCCTCCAGCTCAAACTCCTTTTTGTCCCTTTTCAACCACTGTATTTCAAGATGGAGCATTGATACAGAGAGTCCTCCAGTTTAAGTTCATAAAAAGTACATAAAAGTGACTTATGTACTTTTATAGGTCAAATTTTAAGCCTTTGACAACGATTCAAAAACGTGGTGGAAGTAAATATTCTTAAAAAGGTCACATTTGTTATTGTTTAAAGTAGTAATATGTAAGATTTTCATGTCAAGTCATCATTAAAGGGCCCTAATCTGTGCAAAGACATTAATAAAACATGCTCTTTTACAATACTTATTTAACTGATAACAGTAGTTCAGAGATATTTGAATTTCTAAATTACTTTTCCAGCCTCTAAATCTTGTTATTGTTTTCATTTCGATGTCCCGCCCTCCACCATTTCACCAATCGGAAAGTCTGTGATCCGGGCGCCAGAACTCACCGCGTGGAGCTAATCTCACTGACCTTTTCAACTAAAAAGGTCTCGTTATGATTCTCAAATCATTAACGACAAAACAAGGAATAAAACCATAATTTCTATCTTTGTGAAAAAGGTGTTGGTTATAGATTTGTTGTTGACAAAACTCTTGTCTATTCAGCTGTTATGGTCCCAGCTGGATTCGTCTGCATATCTGGCAACCTGAGTCAGGGAGAGTGGGAGAGGCTGCAGTACCACTTTTGGCCACATTTTTACACACTGCTGCTTTAATTTTTTCATTCGGAGCAACTGTAAAAATGACACCGAGTACCTTCAAGGCAGACTTTTTACAAATACAAACACAACTATTAAAACAGACTACATTTTTTGACGGAAAACTTTCAAAGGTGAAACTTGTTGCTTTCATGTGCACTTCACACCATGTGGTTGTTTTGTGGAGCTGCTGACAGGACACGCAGGTAACACAAAGGTGACCTCCGCCAAACACAGCTGTCACAACGGACTCCGGGAGGGTCCAAGAAACTGGTCCCATCTGCCACAGGTCAGTGCAGGTGGGACTCAGACTCTATACACTGAATATGGATGTGACCATGTGGGCCACCCATGGTCTTATCCAGCCACAAACACAGGTCTCACACTGTACCAGCTGTTTCTTTAAAGGTGCAGTAAGTGATGTTGTTAGCTTAGCCGTAGCACCAACTGGAAACAACTCCCCCCTCCCCTCCCCTCCCTCTCCACCGAACCAAACATCCAGCATTTTCTTTTCTTTGTCACAACAGGGAGAGTGAAGCAAACGTGAAATTGGCATTTTCTGTTCGGCCATTTTAGGTTTTAGAAAATCCGATAACTCCGGTGCACTCACGAGAAACAGGAAGAGGGTGAAGGGGGTAAACACATCCCATTGGTTCGCTGGGGATGAACGAATCCCATTGGTTTATTTTTATCAGCCCTCTCCAATATGTTTTGAATTAATTTTTGTAGACTATAAGCATCTGGTCAATTCCATTACTATTTAAAAACACATGATAACTTGATATTTTTAGGGTTTAGGGACGTTTTCCCACAATATTTAAAAAAATGCGTCTGGAAAAAATCCCTGACTGCCTCTTTAAATACACCAGACACCTGTCATCGGATAATATCATGTAATTATTGTACCATTGTGTGTAGATTATTTTTTTATTTTTTTTACAAAGCTTTACATCCTGCTGATTTTACAAAGCAGGAAATCTGTGTAAGATTTCTTCTCTCTTTAATGTCGTTGAAAGTCTGTTAGAATGACATTTTTGTTAAGGAACAGCGGTGGCTCAGTTGGTCGGTCTCATTGGGGATCGAACCCACGACCTCAATGCTCCCATGACACCTACTCCGACTACTCCCACTGATGTCTGCTGTCATTGTGTCCATGGGCAAGACACTTCTTAGACTTCCCCACTTTGCTGTGTCTTCGATGACGGATTACATTACTTACTTAATTTAATGTTTATAATGAGTTTCTACTGCCAAAAATCACAAGAAGAACAAGACAGACGGATTAAGTATTTTGTAATCCAATGGGGAAAAAAAAATCCACTTCAGGACGTAAGTGAAGTGTTAGCCTGGTCGTACCACACCATCGTATAAATTATATTTCATACGGAGGTCTGGCATTGCTCTATTGGGCTCCGTTAACAGGTGGGAGGGGTTAATGAGCCCGGGTGAGTCACTAGCATTTAGCATGTAGCCTAGCTTTAGCCCTTTCCTTTGCGGCTAACGGAGCCCGTGGGAAGTAGCGCCACATTCTCTGCCAGCGATTACATTTGCTAAACATTCTTCTTGCTCTGGCTTCAGTTTCTTGATAGAACCAGACCAGAATACTTTACTATCGCATTCTTCGCCAAACTACAACCGGCCGTTCGACGCAAACTCTTGACGTCACCCACATCTAACTACAACACCCGCCTCCCGCGCTCTCTGATTGGTCGGATGGAATTCAACCGATTGTAATCTCAAACACAGGGACCAGACCCAGACGTTACATGCAGGACATGATGATGACTGACCATAGTGTACGGATGGATAAGACCAGGCTAGTGAAGAGAAGGAAAACATGGAAAACCTCACATCTCAACTGATGTCATGACGCAGATTGTATGTGTGTGTGTGTGTGTGTGCGTGCATGTGCGTCTGCGTGTGTGTGTGTGTGCATGTGTGTCTGCGTGTGTCTGTGTGTGTCTGTGTGGCTGTCTAGCTGTCGGTCTGTGTGTCTGTCTCTGTCTATCTGTCTGTGTGTGTGTGTGTCTATGTCTGTGTGTATCTGTGTTTGTGTGTGTCTGTATGTGTGTGTGTCTGTGCGCGTGTGTATGCGTGTGCGTTTGCATGTGCGTCTGCGTGTGTGTGTGTGTCTGTGTCTGTGTGTATGCGTTTGCATGTTCGTCTGCGTGTGTCTGTGTGGCTGTCTGTGTGTGTGTGTGTGTCTGTGTGTATGCGTGTGCGTTTGCATGTGCGTCTGCGTGTGTGTGTGTGTGTGTCTGTGTATCTGTGTGTGTGTGTGTAGTGGCTGGCCTCTGATGTGACGCAGTGTGATGTCACGTCTGGTCCGGTGGGACAAAGCTGCAGTTTTTGGTCCAGTGCAGGTAATTAGTGGTCTGATGTGAGCCAGGCCGAGTCAGAGTCACAGGCAAACACGAGCTGCTCACACCACACCGCGAGGACACTCCGGCCTGTCCAAGCTCCTCCCACTATCTGCCTCCTTATCTCATCTCTAACAACACATAATATGACGGGGAAAAGTAGACTGGAGACTTTAACATTATGACACATACATATTTTAAACATGTATTACTTTGTTTTTATCATTATTTTTACTATTGATATCTTTATGGTATATTCTCTGCTGCTAAAAAACTGTTTTTAAAGTAGCAATATGTAGGATTTTCATGTCAAGTCATCATTAAAGGGCCCTAATCTGTCATAATGAAAGGGCCCTAATATGTCATCATGAAAGGGCCCTAATATGTCATTATTAAAGGGCCCTAATCTGTCCAAAGGCATTAATAAAACATGCTCTTTTCCAATACTTCTTTAACTGATAACAGTAGTTCAGAGATATTTGAATTTCTAAATTACTTTTCCAGCCTCTAAATCTTGTTATTGTTTTCATTTCGATGTCCCGCCCTCCACCGTTTCACCAATCAGAAAGTCTGTGATCCGGGTGCCACAACTCACCACATCGAGATGTGGCGCCACCTGTGGCGCAGAACTAAAAAAGGTCTCATTATGATTCTCAAATCATTAACGACAATACAAGGAATAAAACCAGGATTTCTATCTTTGTGAAAAAGGTGTTGGTTATAGATTTGTTGTTGACTAAACTCTTGTCTATTCAGCTGTTATGGTCCCAGCTGGATTCGTCTGCATATCTGGCAACCTGAGTCAGGGAGAGTGGGAGAGGCTGCAGTACCACTTTTAGCCAAATTTTTACAGACTCACTTGTTTTTTAATTGATTTTGTGTTGCTGATGTTTTGCTGTATATAGATTGTTTTTTATATTCTCTAATTGTTATTTTTTGAATATATTTTATGCACAGCACTTTGGTCTAACTGGATTGACGTACCGACATCTGTAAATGTGAAGCCTCCTGACTCCTAACCAGGTTAAAAACTCTCCTCTCAGTAAGAAGGTCCTGGGTTTGGATCCTGGTCGGAACTGGCCCTTTCTGATTGGAGTTTGCATGCTCTCCACCTGTCTGCGTAGGTTTCCTCCAGGTGCCTCTGTGCGGAGACAGAGACAAATGTAAAGTGCTTTGTGC